CCAAATCCAGCACTGCTGTGTCCTTATGAAAAGAAGGGAATCTGAACTCAGAGACAAGGACACACAGGGACGACATTGCAGTGTTGCAGCTGGAAGCCAAGGACTCTGAGGACCGGGCAGCCACCAGGAGCTGGAAGAGGCAGGAAGGATGGTCCTCTTGACCTTCAGAGGGAGTGCAGCCTTGCCGACACCTGGATTTTGGACATCCAGTACCCAGAACTGTGAGAAGCGGTTTCTGCCGTTTAAGCACCCCTGGGAGTGATGCTTTGTTACAGCAGCCCCAGGACGCTTACCCAGGCCTCTTTGCTCAGCTGGACCCCAGAACAGGAGGAGAAACCACAGCTGACCCCGCGTTGGGGGTGCCTCCAAGCTGCAACAGGCCACCCCTGCAATCCAGTTCTGCCTGCAAAAGCCCCAGCTCACGCACGTTTTCTGGGATGATAGTCTTCAGTATTCCAAGGGATTTCTTTGAGCGCGCCAGACTCCAAGTCCCAGCCTCACACTTGACAAGGGATGCAATCAACAGTTGACTGTCGACAGCATTTTCAGATCAGTCGGGCACAGAGGGGGCGGTGGACAAGAGCAGGCAGACAAGAGCAGGTTACTGCAACAGTCCAGACTCAGGCCATCGCCGCCTGAATCAGGTGATGGTAGGTAGAGAACAGGCCCTGGGGGCCATACTGGCAAAGCAGGGGTGTCGTCGAGGGGCCAGATCTAGTGTAGGTGGAGTTGAAGGGACCTGGGCAGCCGGCAGTGGGCGGTGGGCAGTGCGCGGCAGGACGGTTAGGTCCCCTTTGGGTGGGAGTGTTGGCTCTGCCCTGACCACCATGTGGTCCTGGGCCCCAGGCTCCTCGTCTGTGAAATGGACTGGAGGAGGCCTCCTCCCAGGGCCCTGGAGAGGGAGAATCAGTGTGATGGTAGCCCTCAGGCGTCCGATTGTGCTCTGTGCTATTGTTAGAATTCCAGGACAGTGGAGCTGGGTCACTCTGCAGAAAGCAGAGGAAAGGGGAGAAGTCCCGCGGCAGCTCTCCTGGGAGGCCTGAGGAAGGATAGCCAATGCAGAGATGGATGCAGGTTGGGAAAGCAGCAGAGCCAAAAGGAAGACAGGTGTAAGGAGAAAGGGGAGGCTGGGGGAGGTCCAGAGGGGAGGAGAAGGGCTCCTGGGGACGGGGACGGGGCGGTGAACTTGGAGGGAGCGGTTTTGGCAGCAGCAGCAGCAGCAGCCAGAAGATGGATGGAGTGACAGCCGTGGACACGCACACGCGCACACGTGCAGACAGCCGGCAAGCTAGACCATTGACCACGTCTGGGCAGAGAAAGCGAGCGCGGGGCTGCAGCGGGAGGGGCCGGCAGGTTAAGCAAAGGTGTGTGTATTTCATGATGGGAGAGAGGGGTGGGTGGGAGTCGGGATAGAGGAACTGAAGATGCAGGGGGGTGGGGGGCTGGGAGCTCAGATGGGGGTTCACCCTGGAAAGAAGGAGAGGGGCCAGTCCATGGAGAATGAGGCAAGATGTTCTGGAGGGCCAGGAGGGGGGGCAAGTGTGGGGGGGAAGCACGCACCCTGGCCGGGGTCTTTTCAGAAAAGCTGGAGACAAGGTCATCTGTGGGCTGTTTGGGGGTGGGGGGGTAGGGGGGCCTGCACTCAGGGTCATCAGGAGATTAGGGGAGAATGGCTGCTCAGCAGGGGAGCTGGGCAGAATTGTAGTAGACACAATTGATACTGTCCCTGGCAAAGACCTGCGACCTGAAAACCGAGGGGACAAGGGCTGGGCTGGCAGGCGTCCAAGGGACTGAGAGCCTGGGTATCACTGGGACAGGCTGGAAGTGGCCCTGCTCCGTCTCTCCTCTCCCTGCCGGTTCCGGTCTGGGCCACAGACACAGAGAGTGGAGCAGAGCTCCGAGGAGTGCAGGGCAGCACGGTGTGTGTGTATGTGTGTGTGTGTTTGCACAAAGAGGTGCCTGGAGGGCTGGTCAGCCCCTTGTCATCACCTCTGGGTGGTGGTGTCTAGTGATTTTTATTTTCCTCCTTTCTTCTTTTGTGCTTTTAAATTCAGTTTATGACCGCCATGCGCTGTTTTTTCCAAAAACAGGAGAGGTTAAAAGCCTCCCCCACCGGTGGCACCCATGGTTGTTGGACGGAACGGGAAGGTGGAACCTCTCTGCTTGTGCTGATTGTCACAAGTTCTGTTCGAGGGACTACTTCTTTGAGCCCCCACGTCCTGGGGTGCAAGTGAACTTGGAAGAGGGGGCAGTCGGCATCACCTTCAATGCAACGTCCCCCAGCCCTTCCCAGCTGGAAATGCCCCCTCCTTGAGAAAATGGGCGTTCCCGGCGGGGACTGTGCAGCCCCTGCCACACGGGCCAGGGCCACTGGATCCCATGCCTTCTGGCTCACCCAGGGCTTCGCCCTTGGCCCCTTTTCTTTTGCCTGCAGCAGCAGCTCCTCCCAGTCCAAGGCCTTTCTGTTCACAAGCTAACGTGCTCTTCCTGTGACCCCACAACCCTTCCTAGCTGACTGCCCCGATTCCTGCAGTCTCTGATCCAGTTTGTCCGCGGTAGGGTCTGGGCACTGGGAGTTGATCAGAGCTCCTCAGGTGACCCTCACGGGCAGTCAGGTGCCAATCCACCATGCTCACAGCCTTCCGGAAATTTCACCCATCCTCATTGCCTTAATCAATGACATGCTGACTAGAGTTTCGTAATCATCCCTGGGGGAAGGGGACAGAAAGCCCAACTTAGATAGTTTGCCAATTCCTGTGGTGTAAATACTCCTACCATGGTCAATTTCAAGTGATCAGCGTGAAGTCTACCGACTGGCAAATTTACCTCCGTGTGACAACCAGGGGTGTGACAACCCAGTGCAACTCCATCTGTGTGGTGGTATCTCCCTATACCTGAGCTGGCTCGCCTGTCCCTCTGGAACTTGGCTCAGCCACGCATGGAGGTGAACTATGATATCTATCGTCAAAGGGAGGGTCAAGGGTGCTTGCACTGAGTGACTGTCGGGGGCAGGCATAGGCTCCCCCCATTTTATAGTTTTACAAAGCACATTAATGATCTCATTTAATCCTCTCTGTAGCCACAGACAAGGCAAGCAACATCTCTACTTTGCTGAGGAGGAAGTGAAGACTCAAGTCTAAAGCGAGGTGGCCAAGCCCATACAGCAAACAGATAATAGAGCCAGACCCAGGGCCACCCCAGCTCCTGCAGGACGTCTCCTAGACTGGTGGATAGCCGGTCCTGCCTCAGTCCTGCCCTGGCCCATGCCTGCTTTTCCTAACCTTTTGTGCAGGATGTTTAGGCGGGCACCCAGCTGCTATTTTGCCACCTTCCGCTGTCGCAGAGAGCGGGGCTAAAAGCAGCCTTCCCAGACTTCTTTGCCACCCAGGTTTGGCCAGTGAGACGCATTCTTGGGGATTTGGAAGCCGAAAGTGAGGGAGAGGCCACACCTCAGCTCTCCTCTTGCGGCATGCTTGGTGGCCGGCGTGCTGGGCAGCACTCCAGGGGCTGGTCTCTGTCTCTGTGGGTGTTGAGAGGCAGGGTGATGGTTGTCTGATTTTTGGCCAGTGTGGTTCTGGAGTGGCAGCTCACGGTGGCTTGCTGGCTCTGGTGCTCCCGAGGTTCAGGAACCTTCGGTTGCGCGCTCTGCCACCGTCTTGGGCTCTCCGGGTGGACCAGTTTCGTGGTTTCCTGGGAATCATTCTGGAAGCCAACATATACCCTGCTTCTCCAGCCCTTCTAAGGATTTTGTAAGTGCCTAACTTCATTTTCTGCCCCAAGTGGCCAGAGTGGCTTCTGCTCTCCATCAGAGCCCTGACTGCCACACCATCTAACCTTGGTCCCCTCCAGTCCCGCGTCCTGTGACCTTCGTTCCAGTCCTGGGTGCGCCAGCTCCACGGGGTCTGTCCACGTTCTGTCATCGCTGTGGAACCTGGTGACACATATGCACATGCAGGCTCTGCGCTGGGACCCAGACGCCATTTCTGTCTGTCCATTCACCTATTCAATGTCCTGGAAAAGTGAGATAACGCAACACCACAGAGAGCTCAGAGCGGGAAGAGCGGCCTCTTGCTCGGTGTCTGTAGAAGCCAAAAAGTCCATAGCATTTTTAAAAGATTCTCCACATAAGTGATTATTTTAAAATATATTTTCAATCAAGTAATACATTTTACTGAAAATCTTAAAAAGTGAAAGCAAGAAATGAAAATTGTCTCCAATGTGGTTTAGCGACAGTCACTGTCCACCTGTCAGAGCCCCTTCCATCTGTCTTCTGAGTCTGCCCAGCTCCCGTCTCAGGCTCGGTGGGTGTCCGTGTCTGGGCTGCTGCCTCTCTCTGTGTAAATATACATTAAATTTTAAAATGCATAATGATGAGTGTTTTTATAGATCTGTAGCCTAAGTTTCACTTAACTTTCCTGTCTTGTCTCCTCCCATCAGGAGACTTTAAAAGACCCAAACTGTACCCCCTGTTTCTGGATATCCTTCCATTAAGATTGTCAGATTTTGCAAATAAAAATACAGAACACCCAGTTAAATTTGAATTTCAAATAAATGATGATCGTCTCATGCAAATATGGGACGTACCCATAACTGAAAAATTGTCTGTGAATGCATCCGACATTCACGTGTTCTGTGTTTCGTCCGGCAGCCCTGCCTTCTGGATGCTGAGTGGCTTTAGACGCTGGGGCTCAGGCAACCTGGAGGGACTGATTCTGGGCTAACCCCATTCCCAGTACCTGGTAATTCTTCTCTTTGGCTCCGCATCCCTACTACCTGCCAGGCACCGGGCCAGGTGTCTTACAGGTGTCATACATTTCACTCTCACAAGAGCTGTGAAGCCCATTCTGCAGAAAGGGAAGGTGAGGCTGGGGTAAGTAATTGCCCTGGGTTTCTCAGCCAGAAAGAGGATTTGGGTCCAGGTCTGCCCACTGGGGTCCCCCTAGCTTGGACTGAAGAGAATTAAGAATCTAAACCAGGAGGCCAGCAAATGGGCCCCCTGGACCAGACCTGGGGGTGCCACTGCCATCCTTTTAGGGGGGGTCCCCTCCCCTAGATGACAGGCTTGGGCCTCTGAGCCAGGGGAGCCTCTGGCCCAGCGACAGCCTGGAACCCAAGGCAGCTGGACAGAAAGCCACTGATGGCCTCAGGGCTCAGGGCTCTTGAATTGCTGGCAAGTTTCCTCTGAGCCCTCAGGGCTTATTTAAATAGAGCTAAAGTGCCCTAGTCCCTGGTGGAAGAGGTTAAGTAAGGAGGGAGGATTAAGTGCTGCCTTGGGGGGTGGGCGGGGCCTCTGGAAAGCTCTGGAACTGGCCTATCTCCCAGTTTTCCTGCCCTCTGCTTCCCCCACCAGGCCACCCAGGGCTCACCCCTCTCTCTCTGGTCCTTACCAAGGTTCTTAAATGTGGATACACCTGTGGATTGCGTGAGATGCAGGTGCAGTGTGGGCCCGGGGCTCTGCATTCGAACGAGCCACCCAGCCTCTTCCTTAAGCACTCATCCCTGAGACCCCACCGTGTAGACCAGGCGAGGGGCTGGGTGTGGACCTGTGATGTGCTGAGGCTCCGAGAGGTGTGTTGCAAACTGTTGGGGCTCAGAGGCCGGAGGTGGACGTGAGGTCTTTCCTGGCCTTCAAAGCTGGCTTCTCGTATTTCTGACCAAGGTGGGGAGCCCACTCGGTACCCCACACACGTGCAGCCACTGGTACAGTCGTTAGTGGTCCTCGGCCCGCGGGAAGCCCACGGTGAACACGTTTCTCCTTTTGTGCTCCGTGGGCCCCCCAGGGCCAGGCACTAGTTGCCCATAGTGATGGCAACACCGTTAGTGTCCTCCTGTGGGTTCACCTCCCCACTACTGCTCTCTCCTCCTCACTTCTGCTCAGAGAATCCAGGGTAAGCTGTGACCTTGAGTTTAGTGACCACTGAGGGTAATTGGGGACTGAAGTGGCTCAAGGAGGGGACAGCTGGGAGTGGACCAGATAGAGTAGCGTGCTGGGGTGGGGTGGGATGAGAGAGCAGGGGGAGCAGAACCAAAGGTCAGCGCAGTCCAAGGGGAGTTTTGTTTGGTTTCATTTATTTTCTTGTCCATTTATTTTTAATTGACCTTTTTTCTGTTGAAATATTATAGATTCCCATCGTTGTAAGAAATAATCCAGAGAGATCCCGCGTGCCCTCTACCCCGCGCCCCCCAAAGGTAACAGCACAATATCACAACCAAGATATGGGTATTGATACAATGCGCTGGTCTGACTGACATTTCCCTGGCTTTGACTGCGCTGTGCTCATCTGTGTATCTTTAGCTGACATAGTTCTGTCACCTGCATAGGTTCACATGTCCACCTCCACAGCCAAGACACCGAGCGTTTCCATCACCTCCAGGATCCCGTCTATTGCCATTTTTATAACCACACCCACCCCCTTCCCTCCTCCACCCTCCTGCCCCCCCCCTCCCCGCAGCTGGGAGCCACTCATCTGCACTCCATTGCGATAATTTTTGTCATTTCAAGAATGTTACATAAACAGGTTCACACACGGGGTAACCTTCGGGGATTGGCTTTTTCACTCCAAATAATCCCTTGGAGATTAATGCAAATTGTCATGTGTGTCAATAATTCTTGTCATCGCTGAGAACTAGTCCATGGTGTGGCTGTACCGTGTAACCCTTTGCCCGTTGGCAGTCACTCAGGTGTTCCCAGTTTGGGGCTACAGGAAACCAGGCTGCCGTGGACACTCACGCACCGGTTTGTGTGTGAACACAAGCTTCCATTTCAGGGATGGACCGCGAAGACTGCAATTGCTGAGTCATGTAGTAATTGCATGCTTCATTTTCTAAGAAACTGCCGGGCTGTTCCGAAGAGCTGCGTTGTGTTCCACGCCCACCAGCAGCGAAGAAGGGGTCTGCTCTCTCTGCAGCCTCGCCCACATTTGGTGTTGCCTCTGTTTTTCGTTTTAATCTTTCTGATAGGTGTGTTTAAACCACTGTCTCACGTGGCGTAAAGCTGCGTTCCCCTGATGGCTCATGACGTTGCACACCTTCGGAGGTGCTAGGGGCCATCCGTGTACCCTCTTCAGTGAAATGTCATTGTTGAATCTGAAGCGAGTTTCTTTTAAACAGCATATTGTGGGGTCATTAAACAACGTAGACCCTGCCAATCTCTTCCCTTTAAATTTCTCAGGTAAATTGTCAGTAGGTTAGGACGTAAGTTTATTTTATGATTGATTTTCTATGTGCTTCCTCTATTTCCCTTCCCTCGCCTTTCTGGGGATTCCTTGGACATTAGGCTTCCATCGTGGTTTATTTATGGGGATTCTGGTGTGTGTGTATTTGCGTAGTTTTCCTAGTAGTTGCTCTGGTCTGACGAATCACACACATGACTTACAGGTCTGTAAGTGCCCACCTTTTACATTTTACCACTTAGCCTGGTGTGTGGACTCCTCTCTCCCACTCAGTTCCCTTTAAAACTTTTCAGCTGGGCAGGCAGCTCTAGGAACACAAGGAGTTAAATGACCCAGTGAAGCTTGGCCCCTGAGGTGCCCGCTCCCCACAGGCCCTGCCCCCCACCCACAGCCAGGCGAGAGGAGCGTGTACCCTCGCAGACCCTCCCTGCTCAGCTCTACCAGGCCCCGAGAGCTGACATTACCCACACCTGCCAGGCTGAGACAAACATTCGCCAACCCCAGAGCCTTCTGCAATTAAAGTCTTAAGATGGAGTCTCACGAGCAGGAGGGAAAAAAGCAATTTCCCGTTCAACATGTCAAAAACTGCTCCCCTAAAACACCCCAAAGAGATGTCAGGCTGGGAAGAAATCCTCATCGAGGCTCCTTGAGGGACACTGCGGGGGGGCAGGGCTCAGCCCCCTTTCCCCACCTGGCTGTGCAGCTGTTCTGTTTGCAGGGGTGGGAGGGTGGTGGAAGCAAGGTGTGGAGGACAAGGATGCTGGAGCGTGTGGTATGTGACGATACGGGAGCCCCAGGGCCTCACCACGTGGGTGCCAGGAGGTGGGAGTCTGTCAGCAGGCCAGGTGGTCCACAAAGCCCTTTCCAAGGTCTGGTTGTCTGCCCTGCCCACCCACAGCCTATCTGCCTGCCCTGTGCTTCCCGCCCTCGCCCCATGCATGCCCCGGGGCTTCCTGCTGGAGCACGCCCTGGAACACGCCCTCCTCCCCTGGTGTGCGTGTGATGATACATGTGTATGTGTGTATACATGTGTGCGTGCGCACATGCACGTGTACCACATACGTGTGTCTGAGTATGATACATTGTGCGTGTGTGCATGCATGTATGTAGGTGTCTGATACACATATGCTGTGTATGTGTGCAGGGTGCTTGTGTATGCGTGCTGCATGTGTATGTTTGTGTTTGCAAGTGTGTATGTGTGTGTGAGGCAGTGTATATATGTGTAGAAATATATAGAGAGAAGTAAAATCAATAGCATGTGAGTAAAGATAGAAAAGAATGTTTTCCCAGCACTGCTTGTGATGGGCAAAACCAAAGCAAAACAAACACAAACAAAAAACTGGAAGCAACCAAAATGTGAGTGTCTGGGGTGATTATGTAAGCTGTGGTATGCCCACGCCATGGCATCCCATGCAGCATCCAAAAGGAATGGGTTAAATCTAAGTCAGCTGAGATGGAAGATGTCTGTCAAAGATTTGCAAAAGAGGAAAAAACCCAACAGACAGGAGTTGTATGGTATGATCCCCATTTTAAAAATGTGATCAAGCTATAATAATCCCCACTACAGCTGTGTATTGTGGNTGAGCTGCTCCTGACTGCGTCCCCATTCTCCCTTTTTTCTTCTCCGTAACACCACCTTCACCTTCTAGCAGACTTTCTGTGTATTCATGATGCTCTCTCTCTCTCTCTCTCTCTCTCTCTCTCTCTCTCTCTCTCTCTCTCTCTCTCTTTCTTTCTGCTGGGACATAAACCCACAAGAGCAGGTCCTGCTTTCTTCCCTCCCCTGAAGAATCCCTAGCATGCAGGTCATACTGCCTGGCACATGGTAGATGCCCAGTGAATATCTGTCAAATGAATGTCGAATAAATAGGATTTTAGCGTGGAGCAAGCTGCCAGGGCAGCGGTGTGCTGGGGCTGGCTCGTACTGGCCACGTTGTCAGACACAGACGTTATTAAAAATTAAATGACCTAAATTTACAATGGAATAAATGATAGAAAGAATAAATGATAGTTAGAAATGCTCAAAACTCATTTCTTCCTAATGACGTCACTCTATTTTACTCTTAGCACGATCGTGGGGTGATTGACATCTCTTGTGTCTTTATGGTGAAAATACTGGACACGGGTGTCTACTGTGTGTCCTGTGCCAGCTCTGTACTCAGTGACTTCATGCTGGCAGCTTGCAGTCACCATGGTGGGAATATTTACACCACAGAAATTGACAAACACTGCAAATTCTGGCTTGGTTTATTGCTTTGTGGATTGTCTAGACCCGAGAAAGTGATGGAAAAAGTGTTAATGATGCAGGTCGAACTTAAAACTGTGTCTGTCGTGTCTGAAGCCGTTGCATTGTGAATGGCACAAAAAATTGAGGAAAGGCTCCTCCAGTGTTACAAAACTCTATCTGATTCAGCGAAGAAGTCGCTCACATCATTACGGACAAGTGAGGCTCACATACTTTGTCATCCCTTTCATTTTACTGGGTAGCTTAAATGAAAATATCAACTCACATTCGTGTCAGAACTACACTAATTCATCAATTGCAAGCATAAGTCGCCTACTGATCCAAGAGTGGCAAAAAATCAACAAAAACATTCTGCGAATCAATTGGTTCTAGGGAGTTTACAATTAAGAATACTGTATATTTTATTATAATTTGTAAACTGCGTGATACACATCCTTTATATCAGTAACATTCATAACACATATTATATAAATAGATGTATATTTTTTCTCCAGAGAAGTGGTTGCTAATACTAACCATTTACCAGTGCATCGTTCAGGACCAGCCCAGGGGAGGCACTTAGACTACTGTGAAGAAATGAAATATGTTGAATAAAATGGGGCTGAGGGAACTAATTCAGCCCCATTGGTGACCCTAAAGAGGGCAAGGCGATGGGAGGAGAGACCCAGGCCTGGAACATGGGGTGGTAAGAGCCAAGGCCCTGGGATGAACTAGGGGGACCGAGAGTGGGTATGGGGACATAAGCTGGCCCTGGGAGCTGGCATATTAGATGGCACCGTATTGAAGGACGCATTCAGGCCTGTGACAGGGAGCCAAGGCCTTCAGGACAGCACCCCTGCAGCGTCTCCTGTCAGGACAAGTTGCTCCCTGGTGTAGGCTGCACATGTCCCCAGGATGCCAGACCTCCAAGTCATTGTCCTGAAGGCAGATGGCTCCAGGCCCCTGGACAAAGGCTCCGTTATCCTCAGGGCTGCCCCCTGCCGCGCTATGTCTGTCCGCCCAGCTTGTTAGGGGGCCTTGTGTCCCAGGACATCATGTATCTGCTGGACCCAAGGAGGGACTGGTCCAACCCTAGCCCTGACCCTCCTCTGGCTGTTGAGAAATAACTTTTTGTTTTGTTTGGTTGTTTAAATGTGTTTGCATTTACGTATGCATTAGGTTGGGTGGTCAGAGGCAGCCTCACTGAGTGAGTTACATGTGAATTACAACCTACAGGTGGAGAAGGAGGCAGCAGCCATGTAAGGATGGGGAGCGATAGGTTGTTTCTGGGAGCAGGGGCCGCAGGTGCAAAAGCCCTGAGCCAGGCACACACCGGGGTGACTGAGGACCGAGGCAGGCAGGACGCAGAGACAGCTTGAGCAAGGGGAGCAGAATGGGACAGGCGATTCGAGGGCGAGGAAGGCAGCTTGCCCAAGCTGCCGTGCCTAGGAGTTTGGACTCGATTCTAAGTGCTGTGAAAGGCTTTTGGAGGTTTGAAGCAGGGGCGTGGGGGGACTATTAATGGCCAGATGATGGGTTCAGGTTCAGGCCTAGAGCCTGGGGACACAGGGCAAGTTCCCAGGACTTGAGTAGGAGCCTGCAGGGTTAGCGTTTCCTGGAGGCCCTTCCTCCACCGGGTCATCTTTTAAGAAGCATCTCAGAAGTGCCATCTCCCCACTCTAAGCAGCATGGATATGAAGACTTGATGGCCAAAAAGAGGTGGTCAGGACCTAAAGGCAGATCCTGGGAGCCAGACTATAGGGATTAGCATCCTGCTCTGTGACCTTGAGCAACTGACCCGTCGCCTGTGCCTCAGTTTCCCCATCCTAACAAAGAGGCTAATGATAAAATGGTTGTTAGTCATAGTGTTAACTGGATCAATAGGCAAAGCACCTTGCACAGTGCCTGGCAGGAGCGAGGGCACAACACACAGTAGCTTTTAGCATTATTTTTTGTGTTTTTATGCTTGCTGTTAAGACAACGATTCACCCAGGCAACCAAGCCTAGGTCAGAACCCCTGGCCGGGACAAGATTTCCTGGGGCCGCAGAAGGCGATCGCACCTCCCATGGGCGGGTGAGGCCTGAGCCGCACACCTGGCTGCTCTCCGAGGAAGCACAAGTCACACGTGTGGTCCAGCCGAAGGCTCTTGAACTCCAAGAGCCTCACATTTGGGGCTCATGAAGCCGCTGGGGCCCCTGGGGTCTTCAGGGCTTGGGGCCCAAGAGCTGCCACTGCTGCTCTGTGGGCGACCTGTCAATCTCTGCTGGCCTCGATGGGTGACCCCTGGGTCCAGGTGGAAGTCTTTCTGTCCTCTGCTGGGTCTGTCTGGCCCAGGAAGTCCTTGGTTCCAGGGATGAGCCGGACTTGACCCAGGCAGCCCTGTGCAGAGCTGAGCACAGGGCTCTGGTGGGGGTGGGGCCCTCTCCAGAAGCAAAGTCAGCAGTTGGGGCATCCGTGTCCACTATTTTGGGTCTTCCGCTTACTGCTTGTGAAGAATATCTTTTAATGCCAAGCTTAGTGCCGGTCTAGGACACGTGGGATGGCCTGAGTGGCTTGGCTGGGCAGGGCTGGGCTAATGCACCCCCACCCCTGGCTGGAAGAGCCAGGTGAGGGGCTAGGAGGCCGTGCAACGTGGACCAGGAGGCCGTCCAGCTCCTACGGAGCCACTTTCTGGTTTGTGGGGGACTCAGGACCTCCCCCACCCTCCGGGTTTTGTACTGGGTCAGGATTGTGTTCAGGAAGCTTGTACCTCCCTTTGAAAGGTACGCCTTGTCCTCACAGATGGGAAACTGGGGTTCCAACTGGTTCTGCAGCGCCGCAGGGCTGGGACTCACCCAGGGCGGCCCCCTCCCTGTGCTCACTTCCTTAGCCGTCACATCTGTAGCTCTGGTGTTGACACTTCCATCACGCGGTGTGGGATGATGACGTAAGTCCTTTATGTCTGTGCACACGCATGCCTTATCTCCCCAGCTAGACTATAAATTTCTTCAGTATCTCCTCCTGTCCCTAGCAGGCACTCAGGCACACATGTGGCAATTCTTTTCAAAGGAATGCATAAAATGTGAAGTAAACAGTAACACTGACCAGGAGGGCTGAATTTCAGCTGGGCCCAAACGCCTTTGTATGGTGGTCATCCAGCTTGGGGCTCACTCATCTCATTCTCCCAACAGGCTGGCCAGGCTGGGCCAGCGAGGATGACCGGAGGACGCCGGGTTTCACAGGTGAGGCTCAGAGAGGCCAAAAGTCTTGCTGCTGTCACTCAGCAGGCGGGACCAAAGGCTGGCAGCTCTGACAGCCCCCTGGAGAGTCAGGAGCGTGAGTGCTTTCCCAGTACCACGAGGGTCTAGGCAGCTCCACCCAACAGAAGTAGCCTGGTAGCCATGTTAAAAAAGTAATAAGGAACAGATAACATTATTTTTATTTATTTATTTTTAAAGATTTTTATTGGGGAATTGGGGGGATGGGAACAGCGCTGGGGAATTGGGGGAAGGGGGACAGACAAGTTGCTGTCCTTTTGTTCTTCAGTCTAGTTGTGGAGGACGTTGCTTCACTGGCCCAAGTTGGCACCATCATTGCGCTCTTCCCAGGTGAGGCAGATCAGTCGCCGGCTTCTGGATGACCGCTCACTGCGGCTGCTGGCCACTCACACTGGCTGCTGGCTACACACACGGTAGCCCATGGCAACCCACTGCAGCAGGGGCTGCAGCCTATGCCGTCACTGGCGACTCACAGCAGCCCAGCTCCAGGTTGAGCTGTTGTTCAGCATCTTAGCTATAGAGGGCAGTGTCACTGGCCCTCATATGTGGGATCCGAACCAGGGCCCTCTGGCGTCCCAAGCCAGCTCTTAACCATTGCGCCACTCAGCCGGCCCACATTATTTTTAATAATATCTTTTATTAACCAAGTATATCCAAAATATTTTCAATTTAACATGTGATCAGGGCAGAAACTTTTAATGAGATATTTTACTTTATTTTTCTTGTTCTCAGTCTTGGAAATCCTGTGTAGATTTAGCGCTTGGCCATCTCTCCATTGAGGCATGAGAGCCACATGTGGCCTGTGGCCCCGTGGTAGACAGTGGGTCTGGGGCAAGAAGAGATAGATCACTTCTAGTCCCCAGCTGAGCAAATGCCCCTGGAACCCAGCCTGTTAGAACTTCGTGTCATTACCGTGGCTGAGCCCGCGCAGCCCTGGGGGCCGGAGGCAGCAACAGCGGCTGGACCCAGTGTCAGTGGTCACGGTGTCATTTGTGTGCCTGGTGTGCTCAGGCCTGGTGTCAGGTTTGGTGAGGGGGCTTCCTTCCTCTGGGCCAAGGCGCATATGGTCAGAGAGCACTGCCTCCAGCTCACCACCCCCGGGACGCCCACCCAGATTGACGTAGAAACCGAGATGGGGCCAGGGTGAGTGGTGGCCTTCGCAGGCACCAGTGGGGCTGTCGATTTGGGTTCCTGAATCTGGAAAGTCACCGTAGTAATGTGGCCTCTGCACACTGAGGACACAGCAATGTTCCAACAGCCTAGAGGGGAGGCTAGCTGGCAGGGCGGGAGCCGAAGCCTGGGTGTCTTTAGGGAAGGGTTTCTTCTTCCTCAGTACTGGTCAGGGCTTCGGTTACAGGCAGGAAGCCGCTGAGGTCAGCGAACGGCCGGGGCCATACCTCTGAGGTGCCTGTGTGTTGGTGTTGCCTAGGGCAGCCCTGGAGGGGCTGGCCTCCCGCTCACAGGCGTGCTTATCACGTAAGTGGGTGCTGTTTCCTGGCAGCTGAGGGTAATTATGGGGCTGCGTGCTGGAGGACGGGTCTGCGCATGTGTCTCTCTCAGGGCTGGTGGCCCCGGCTGGGGCAGCCGAGTAAGGAGCGGTGCCGTCAGCTGCTCACTGAGACGTGAAGCGCTGGGACTCGGGGCAGGGCTGCAGCCGGACGCCTGGGAGGAAAATGCCAAGTGTGTTTGAGGAGACATTTCCCCCTCGCAGGGCCAGCGGGCCAATGCCATTTGTGGGCGGTCCTGGCAACAGTGAGTTCTAGTCTCCAGCCATATGCTCTGTCCCCAGATCCCAGCGTCCTGGTGGCCCCTGTTCCTGCCCTTGTCCCTTTTGCTTTGTTCTCTCTCCCCAGTCCCACTGCACTTCGCTTTATCCTTCTTGCTCTGCCTCCACTCACCAGCTCCGGCCTCCTCCTGTCCAGGGACTCTCCTAGGCTGCTCCTATATGCCTCATTCCAGTCCTCCTGTTTCATTTCTGGGACAGCCCCAATAGTGAGTTGACTTGTCCCCCTAAATTCACGTCCACCTAGAACCCCAGAATGGGACCTTGTTTAGAAATAGGCTCTTTGCAGATGTAATGAAGTCAATATGAGGTGGCTAGGGTGGCCCAAATCCAGCACTGCTGTGTCCTTATGAAAAGAAGGGAATCTGAACTCAGAGACAAGGACACACAGGGACGACATTGCAGTGTTGCAGCTGGAAGCCAAGGACTCTGAGGACCGGGCAGCCACCAGGAGCTGGAAGAGGCAGGAAGGATGGTCCTCTTGACCTTCAGAGGGAGTGCAGCCTTGCCGACACCTGGATTTTGGACATCCAGTACCCAGAACTGTGAGAAGCGGTTTCTGCCGTTTAAGCACCCCTGGGAGTGATGCTTTGTTACAGCAGCCCCAGGACGCTTACCCAGGCCTCTTTGCTCAGCTGGACCCCAGAACAGGAGGAGAAACCACAGCTGACCCCGCGTTGGGGGTGCCTCCAAGCTGCAACAGGCCACCCCTGCAATCCAGTTCTGCCTGCAAAAGCCCCAGCTCACGCACGTTTTCTGGGATGATAGTCTTCAGTATTCCAAGGGATTTCTTTGAGCGCGCCAGACTCCAAGTCCCAGCCTCACACTTGACAAGGGATGCAATCAACAGTTGACTGTCGACAGCATTTTCAGATCAGTCGGGCACAGAGGGGGCGGTGGACAAGAGCAGGCAGACAAGAGCAGGTTACTGCAACAGTCCAGACTCAGGCCATCGCCGCCTGAATCAGGTGATGGTAGGTAGAGAACAGGCCCTGGGGGCCATACTGGCAAAGCAGGGGTGTCGTCGAGGGGCCAGATCTAGTGTAGGTGGAGTTGAAGGGACCTGGGCAGCCGGCAGTGGGCGGTGGGCAGTGCGCGGCAGGACGGTTAGGTCCCCTTTGGGTGGGAGTGTTGGCTCTGCCCTGACCACCATGTGGTCCTGGGCCCCAGGCTCCTCGTCTGTGAAATGGACTGGAGGAGGCCTCCTCCCAGGGCCCTGGAGAGGGAGAATCAGTGTGATGGTAGCCCTCAGGCGTCCGATTGTGCTCTGTGCTATTGTTAGAATTCCAGGACAGTGGAGCTGGGTCACTCTGCAGAAAGCAGAGGAAAGGGGAGAAGTCCCGCGGCAGCTCTCCTGGGAGGCCTGAGGAAGGATAGCCAATGCAGAGATGGATGCAGGTTGGGAAAGCAGCAGAGCCAAAAGGAAGACAGGTGTAAGGAGAAAGGGGAGGCTGGGGGAGGTCCAGAGGGGAGGAGAAGGGCTCCTGGGGACGGGGACGGGGCGGTGAACTTGGAGGGAGCGGTTTTGGCAGCAGCAGCAGCAGCAGCCAGAAGATGGATGGAGTGACAGCCGTGGACACGCACACGCGCACACGTGCAGACAGCCGGCAAGCTAGACCATTGACCACGTCTGGGCAGAGAAAGCGAGCGCGGGGCTGCAGCGGGAGGGGCCGGCAGGTTAAGCAAAGGTGTGTGTATTTCATGATGGGAGAGAGGGGTGGGTGGGAGTCGGGATAGAGGAACTGAAGATGCAGGGGGGTGGGGGGCTGGGAGCTCAGATGGGGGTTCACCCTGGAAAGAAGGAGAGGGGCCAGTCCATGGAGAATGAGGCAAGATGTTCTGGAGGGCCAGGAGGGGGGGCAAGTGTGGGGGGGAAGCACGCACCCTGGCCGGGGTCTTTTCAGAAAAGCTGGAGACAAGGTCATCTGTGGGCTGTTTGGGGGTGGGGGGGTAGGGGGGCCTGCACTCAGGGTCATCAGGAGATTAGGGGAGAATGGCTGCTCAGCAGGGGAGCTGGGCAGAATTGTAGTNCAGTGTCACTGGCCCTCATATGTGGGATCCGAACCGGGGCCCTCTGGCATCCCAAGCGAGTTCTTAACCATCGCGCCACTCGGCCGGCCCAACAGTGTCTTTCAAAGAGCAGAAGTTTTTATATTTTTGGTTAAAAATTATAATAGTTTTATTGAGGTATACTTCTTATGCCATACAATTCACCCATTTAACTCAAGGATTTTTAGTATATGCACAAACATGTGCACACATCACTACAATTTTGGGACATTTAGAACATTTTCATTACCTCCAAAAAGAAAACTCATACCCATCAGCAGTCACCCCACCCCCAGCTCTAGGCAATTACTAATAAAAGTTTTTTACTTTGATATCTCCGATTTATCAAGCTTTTCTTTTATGGACCACACTTTTGGTATTGTATCTAAGATATCTTTGCCTAACTCAAGGTCGCAAATTTTCTTCTCTTTTTTATTTCTTCCAGAAGTTTTATAGTTTTAGGTTTACATCTAGGTCAGTGAACCATTTCGAGTTAAATTGTGTGTATGGTGGATGCTTTGAACTGAAGTTCTTTTCATTGCAGATAGATACCCAAACGTTCCATTTGCTAAAAGGCGATATCCTCTCTCCCCTGAATTGCTTCTGTACCTTTGCGAAACTCCGTCGCTCAGGTACTGCAGGTCCATTTCCATTCCGGCAATCTATTGGTCCGTCTCTACACCAACACCGGCTGCCGCGGGTCCTGCAGCTTTGCCGTAAATCTCGACGTTGGGCAATGTGAGCCCACTTCGGCTTTTTTCTCAGAGTTGTTCCAACTATTCTAGGTCCTTTTCTTTTTCCTCATGAGCTTAAGAACCAGCTTCTCGGTTTCTACCAAAAAGAGTCTGCTGTGTTTTGACTGGCATTGCATTGAATGTGTATGCCATTTGGGGGAACGGACATCTTAACAAAACCCCCATTTATTTTCACCTTTAGTTCTCCTCAGCAACGACGCGTAGCTTTTACTGTACAATTCTTAGCCATCTTTTGTCAGATATATCCTTAAGTGTTTCATATTTTCGGTGCTATTGAAAACCATCTTTACAACTTTTAAATTTCTGATTGTTACTGTTATATAGAATACAATTGATTTTTACATACAGTTGATGTTTGTACTACAAACTTGCTAAAGTTACTTATAAGTTCTAGCAAGCTTGCTTGTTTTGTAGATTCCACTAGGTTTTCTACATAGACAGTTAATGCTATCTACAAATAAGACAGTTTTGTTTTTTTCTTTCCAATCTGGTTGCTTTCTTTTCCCCCTTTGCTTAATTTCGCTGGCTTGAGCCTCCAATACAGTTTTGTTCTGTGACCCCCATTCTGGACACTCCCCTGCCTGAGGGTCAGGAGGCCAGTGTGGGGGCCAGGCTCAGCCCTTCAATATCAGCTTTCACCTGTGCCCTCAGTTACCAAAGGACTAAGCCTGACATTAAACACGACAGACGGACGCAGCCGATAACCAGCTATATCTGGGAGCGGCTGAGTGGGCTGGGAGTGTGGAGCTCTCACCCCGCTCCCTTCCAAGCCTGAGAGGGCCATGCCCCTGGGCTCCTGGTGGGTTGAGCCGGGTCATGCCCACTGTGGAGAAAGCGTAGCTGGGAGTTGTCTTGGGCTGGGGAGGCGTCTTTCTGTTCTGCTTACTGGTGGCACGACCTCAAAAACATATTACTGGCCCCTACCCAATACCTTCCCTCTCTCCTTTCTAACCGAGCCCCGTTTTTTTCTGAGGAGCAATGTGCCCAGCTGGAGATACTCATCTTACTAGACTCTTTTGCAGCTAGGGTTAGCTGTTTGAGATGTGAGCAGAGATTTCTGGGAAAGGTTTTGCATTCTTGCTATGATGCTATTCCTTCTACTCCCCCCCCCACACACACACACACTCCCCGCCTGCCGCTTTCTTTTCTGCTGAAAGCATAGACATGAGGCCCAGAGACGCAGCCGCCTTCTCGGAGCTGTGAGGATATGCTGAGCATGGCCTAGGAGCCTGGGACCCGGACGGCACCGGGGAACTGCCGCCTACGCCACGTTTCTTGTTGTGTGGGGTAGTCAAGCTCCTTGTGGCGTAAGCTGTTACTAACCAGGTTTTCTGTCACTTGCAGCTGAAAGGCTTTCCACTGGGGACCTTTTAAGCCTGTTTCTTCATCTTGAAAATGCTGCCAAAAAGACTTAGTCTACCTTGGAATTGTTGTGCTGCTAGGATCATTCTTTCCTTTATTTCTTGAGGGTTGATGGGCGGTTTGCCCTTGACCAGGCCGTCAGCCTGGGGCCACTCAGGACAGGGCTGCTCCCTGCTTTCATGGAGCTCTCAGTGGCTCGAGAGACAGCCGTGAAGACAAAGCACCAGGCAGGAGGACCCACAGAGAGGCTCCCAGGGAGTGTGAGCGGACCCCTGCTCTGGTGACCACTTTCTCACCCACAGGACTGGACTGACAGGGCACCTCAGCTCTGGAGACCTCAAAATGGGGGGAGAGCGGGTTCTAGAACATTCATGACCAGGATTGTTAGAGGCTTTCCCAGGGCTCTCAGCCAAACCCTTCACGGCTCCTCGGGGCCCCCTGCCTCTCAGAGGGCCTTGCTTGCAGGTGAGGGGCTAAGACTAAGAAGTCCACCATTCTCCCAGAACCTCTGGGCCTCAGCTTCCCTGTCCATAAGCGAGCAGACTGGACCAGGTGACAAGCTTCTTGTAGCTCCGGCATGCATTCTTCAACTCTAGGCAAGTTGGACCCTCCGGCTTCCTTCCCCGAACACATGAGGAACAGAAACAGAGAGGGTGTGTGGTTTTCTCCAGGTCACACAGCAGGTCAGTACAAATGGTGCTGCAATGTCCGTAAGTACATACATACTTTCTCAATGTGCCAGTGTAGCTAGGAAAAATTCCTAGAACTGGAACTGCTGAATCAAAGAGACAAACCAAGCTTTATAACATGGTTAAATGCTGAAAAACGCTCCCCCAAGAGATTGTACTAATATACACGAATGAGAAACTCATTTACCCAAAAACACGGCAACACGGTGGGTAATCAAAGTTTCTGATCTTCGCCAAACAAACAAGTGGAAAATTACATTTCAGGTTAGTTTTAATTTGCATTTCTCTTATTAAAAGTGGAGTTGACACCAAAAGCGTGAGCAACAAAAGAAATACGGATCATCTGGACTTCATCAAGATTAACAACTTTTGGACATCAAAGGATATCAAGAAAGTGGAAAGACTACCTACAGAATGAGCGACAATATTGCAAGTTGTATATCGAATAAGGGCCTAGTACCCAGACTATAAAGAACTCTTACAAGTAGACAACAAAGAGAGAAACAGGCCCCTAGAAATGGGCAAAGGGCTTGAACAGATACTTCTTCACAGAAGATACACACAAGGCCAACAGACACGGGAGAAGACGCTTACCGCCACTCGTCATCAGGGAAATGCACATCAAACCGCACTGAGATCCGCTTGACACCCTCCAGAACAGATAGGATTTTAAAAACGGGGGAAGCTGCAAGTGTTGGGAGGATGCAGAGAAACCGGACCCTCGTCCACTGCTGGTGGGGATGCAACATGGGGCAGCGGCTGTGGGAAACAGTTTGGCAGTTGCTCAAAAAGTTAAATGTAGAGTTACCGTATGACCCAGCAATTGCACTCCGAGGTATAGACCCCAAAGAATTAAAAGCAGTGACACAGATGAATCCGTATCACTCACATCCGTAAGCAGCACTCTTCACAATCACCAAGAGCTGGAAACAGCCCACGTGTCCATCAGCAGATCAATGGATAAACAAACTGCGGTGTGCAGCCACAATGGACTAGTATTCAGCCCCAGCAAGGAATGAGTTCTGAGACATGTCCCAGCACGGATGAAACACTGAAGACACACCACGTGAAAGAAACCAACACAAGAGCCCGCATTTTGTGTGATTCTACTAGTATGTATAGGAAATGTCCAGAACAGGCCAATCAATTCACAGAGACAGAAAGTAGACTGGTGATTGCCAGGGACTGGGGGAGGGGGAGCGGGGAGTGACTGTTTCAGGGGGATGGGGTTTCCTTCGGGGGTGATGGAAATGTTTTGGAGACAGGCGGAGGTGGTGGTTTCACCACACGAGGCATTCACAGGCTCAACTTGTTGGCAGCCTTAGTTCTGCCTGCGACCGTAACTCGCCTTTGCCATGGGACCTGACACAGTCACAGCGTCCGTGGATGAGGAACGGGCATTTTCGGGAGGCTGCTCTTCTGACGACCCAGTAATGATGCTGTTCCAGAGGCTTCCACTTGCTTTCCACGTTACAGCAGCTCACTTCTTGGACTAATGAACTAGTGTGTGTGTGTGTGGGGGGGGATGGGGGGGTTGTGTTAACCACAAGGTGTGTCCACACCAACGACGCATTCAGGGACCAGGAAATGAGCAGTGGGCGGGCCGGTGCAGCCACTGAACCAGCTGTGAGCTGGCCGGGACAGTATCGATCTCCTGGCCCTCACCAACCCTGCCAGCATGGCCCAGGACCCTCCCTGTGGTGGGAGAGAGGCCCCCAATGTCCTGGCCTTTCGGTTTCTGCTCCCAACACCGGTCTCATTAGAAGTGTCCGGCTGCACCTGGCTGCACAGCAGCTCTTAGGACGACCC